ATTTATTATAACAAAGTACAAATTTATTTCAAATAACAACAATACATCAATATAAACAAAATATCTAAGATATAATACATTCTAACGACTTATAAAAGTTATAAATAAAGTACCTGTAAGAGACAAGAAAATCAATATTTCAAAGAAAATACAATTATTATACATAAACTGTCATACCATTATTATTTAAATGCAATATTAGGGAGAAAAGAGCCTCCCTAACCTTCTGTGGCCTCCGCATCTCCCCTTATAGCCACCCTATCCACCCAAACGAACATTAATTTTGAAAGTGTTAACAAATAATTAATTTAATTAACAATTATGCCAAAAAATCAATTTAGAAACATTTTAAATATCAACCTAAGTTATGATTAAAAAGATATAACAGTTTATGCAGTAAAAAACAAAATACCTGTAAGAGAAAGACAAGAAAACACATGAAATTTCAAAGAAAATACAATAAAAAGCAAACAATACGATGTCTTCAGTCTTCTTCGGTTACCTGAAAGCGAATAGTGCAATTACAAGGACTAACGACAAATACTAATAGCTTTGGTAGAGAAGATCGGACAGATTTCGCCAAGGCAAGCTGGGCAGTCGCCTATTGCTCCTATTCCAGATAACCCACTGTACCCTGTCTGAAAGGAAGTAACGCTAGAGTAGACTCGCGAAAAGTGTATAAGACACTTTTAAGATCAACTAAATAGCTAAGCCCAAGGGAAGTCGTTCGGGGAGGCCCTCCCTAATTCCACAAGGGTGAGAAGAAACACACACGATAACGAAACGTTGAATCATGTAGAACTCGTAGGGTAAATGCAAAGCAAATTAGGAAGAATATGCAGTAAGCTAAGCGAAGAGGTAAGCAAGATTAGACTATACTACAACTACTAAACGTGTTATTTCTACAACTACACTACTACTACATAAAAAAAATAATAAAAACATCTACAATCAACAATTACTTCAAACAAAATGAACAAAAATAAGGATGCAAAATAAAAACTAATTCAAACAAAATAAACTACGAAAAAAAAAACATGCAAAATAAAAAACTAAGTTGAATAAAATTAACTTGATGAATTCTACTACGTAAGAGCATGCAAGATAGAGAACAATTTTAACTACGGGGTCATCTTTGTCTTCTCCAACGTCGATCTGAAACAGATACGGTGGTAACAGATTAATAAGGAGCAATTAAAATTAATTATATCAAGTATTCTCACCTTAATTAACTGTAGACCGTAATGTTCCAAAGTTTGCAGGTGTGAAAAGCAAATCAAATCCAAGAGGAATGCCAATGCAGAAAATTTCTTATTTCAGTGGAATTCACATAAATCTTCAGTTGCTCTCACTCATCACTTGAAAATTAACTGCATAATGTTGCAAGGTGAAGACGAAAACAGCAAATCAAGAATGTAGTCCACCAAACATTGTAGATATTGTTTCAGTACCATCAACCTGAACTTTAAATCTCTCACATTTGTCAGACGATCTGTAGAGATGGACAAAGAAAAGTATTAGGTACACAATCAATTAAAAAAGGGATTCAAATTAAGTAAAATCATGCACAAAAACACAAGTAAAACACCTAAATTATAAAATGGCGATGACATGTCAATTTTATTCATTACATAGAAAAATGTTAAAAGCAATACAAGTAACCACAGATGAACTATAACATTAATTTATTCTATGGTATTCTGACAATAGATAACTGTTAGAAGAAAACTCCATAAATGCAGGATGACGTTAATTTATGCTGCGGACAATAGATAACTGCTAGAAGTAAAACCATAGATGCCAAAGAAGGCGAATTACTATGAATAAGTCATTTTAAAATCACAGAAAAGCAATTGCTTTTCTAGAGGATGAAATGAGCCAGATAACAGGCAGACAGAACATCGCATACATCACTGTAAATTAAACTGCATGTTTTCTATAAACACCATCAAGTCCGAGGGAGTATTAAAACGGCTCCACTTCTCCAATCCTTTGTCTCCTTGTTCATTTAATATGTTTAAATGACATCCTGCTGAAACAATTTAATGTTAGCTTCATCTTAAATATAATTGTTTTAAATTATCAAACTCCATAATTAACTTTTACTACAGCGAAAAAGTAGTAGTAGTTATTATCAAACAAATGAAATATAAGATTTGAAAAATCACAAACCACTTTGTAAACACAACCATCAAATAATTAAAGATTTCTTACCCTTTCCAAGCTTAAGAGAAAGAAACGTAAATGGGGCTGCGCTTCACCATGTTTTGAGTACTTTTAATTTACCCTCTCTCTCCATGTACATTTCTGATGTTTTAATGGAAACCTGCTGAAATAATTACACGGTATTGGTTATATGTTCACTAGATTCGTTATTATTTTATTATTAGTGATAATTACCATTGATAGCATCCTCTGTTGTGATTTTTTAACCAGATGATTAAAAGTACTCTTGGAAATAAAAACATCTCTGAATGTATGTCCATCGAATCCATGGATGTCATCTCAAAGCAACTCTATGTAATAGGAAAAATAAGTCGTTAAAACCCATAAAACAAGGCAAAAATAAAAACATTTAACAGAAATTTAGAATTTTAAAGACAGCATAATAGTTTTGAGAAATGTTTCACATATTTTGGCTTTATTGCGAAAGCGATTTTTCACGTGCTCACACAAATATATAAAATCTGCAATCATCGCCTGAACTTGTTCTTAAAATTCAAAAATTCTAACAAAACCCTAATGATTCGACCTCAAATAAACGAAGAATCTAAGAATTCGCAGTAGATGAGTGAATAGGCAAGATGGGCCCCCGTTTTGGAGAACGAAATCAGCACGCCACCGGTCACTCACGCAAAAAGAATCTAGGTAACGATAATCGAAATTCATCAGTTACTAAACAGAAACGTATTTCACACAATCAAACTAAAGTCGATTAAGAATTAGGGCTAAATACCTTTAGGTGTAATTTTCTTTTGTGGACAGCAAAAACGATGGGTAGTCGTTGTCGAAAACCAAAGTATGGAGCATAGATAATAGATACACAAATGGTATGGCGACAAGACCACAAGACTAGACGAATCGGAAGATCCATAGATGACAATTTTTTCGATACCTATAATACATAGATAATAGATTTTAAAGGTGGGTTCAATTATACTTACTCTGTTTAATTCATGAATTAATAAAAACTGATCCACCCCTAAAAAACACCCTAATGATATTACGGAATAGGGTATATTACTTGTACCTACTACATAGTACTAATAAAAACCTGAATAGGTGGTTATAACTTTTATTTCTAATTGTGTCAACTCCAATTGGTATTTATCTATGGTCAGCTAATTGTGAAACGTCATTAACGTATTTTTATTATCATTAGCATTTCATCGAGTAATTCTAACCTAAGAGTTTAGTTTACATTTTTAAGTACGGTAATTTTGTAAGATAGTTGTGGAAATAAGTATGCCGAGTTGGAGTCAGGTTCAGTCACAATTGCGACATCCAACTAATCCAGTAGTGTTTTTCGATATATCTGTCGGTTCAATTGTGAGTAGTATCTGTACCTACATTTTTTATATTACATCATTTAGTATTTTCTAACTTAAGGAGATTGGAAGGATGGTTTTTGAATTATTTGCTGATGTTGTACCCAAAACCAGTGAAAATTTTCGTCAGTTTTGCTGTGGTGAATTCAAGAAGGATGGCGTGCCGTTAGGTTATAAGGGTGCAAGTTTTCATAGAGTTATTAAGGATTTTATGATACAAGGTGGTGATTTTGTGAATGTATGTATTTACTATTACCTTATATATTACTGTATGGCCTTTTTCATATATTTAGGGTGATGGTACAGGAGTAACAAGTATTTACGGAGGAGGAACCTTTGCAGATGAAAACTTTCTTTTGAAGCATGATTGCCCAGGACTTCTTTCAATGGCAAACAGTGGAAAAGACACGAACGGGTGTCAGTTTTTTATAACTTGCGCAAAATGTAATTTTTTGGATGGCAAACATGTTGTATTTGGAAAGGTTTTGGATGGTTTACTTGTCATGCGAAAAATAGAAAATGTTCCAACAGGGCCTAATAATAAACCTAAGATACCTGTTACAATTGTTCAGTGTGGTCAAATGTAAGTGTGCATGAATAAAACTTTTAACCAGGTTACAAAAAAGAAAAATGTGAAACTGAATTTTCAGTGCACATTGTGCAGGTTCCATGTTTGAATCATGTTTTGTGGTGTTTAAAGTATAATTTAACCCATCTTTGGTGCAGTAGTTGTAAAACTACATGATTATTTTAGAAAATTCAAATATACACTAATTGTTATTCATCATATTATCAACACATTTATAAACACTGGTAATAATGTGTAATACAAAAAGATCCACACATCAGGTAGCTGTTACTTTTTTATTGAAAGTCAAATTGTGAACCACATAAAAAATTTATAGCTGTACGACATGATGTTTCATGTCTTTATAATGTTTTACCACACAGAATTAAAATTTACAGATAGGCAAGGACGACAGCGAAACGCTTATTAAAAGACCTATCTTATTTATTGATTTTATATACATAGCTATATTACAAGTTAGTGCAGTCCTCTTCGCCTCAAGCCTGGAAGTTAAGATAATTTTTAATGATTTTTCATTTTAATTATGAAAAAGTTTCAGCATGCTATCTTTTTTGAACATTGAACAATAGTATACAGATGCAAATAGGTTCATGCAAGGAAAACTACTTGCTACTATTTGCTTAAATATAATTATTTAAATGTTATGGACGACTCAAGTGTAGGTGTCATTAACATACAAACTATTGACATAACATTTATAAAGGCTCCTTTAGAGTTTACTTATTATCACAGGACTAAAACAACGTCTTAACCGTTTCATCATGTACTTACAATAACTAAAATAAAAATTCACAAATGATATGTTCATCGTCTTTGCATTTAAATCCGTTCATAATGATCCACAACTTGAAAATAGCAATCACTACATAAAAATTAAATTATAAAATAAAACTAGCATGGAATGCTACGTCTATGATTAAAATTATATACCACTATTAGTATTTAGGTGAAGAAATTTATAAATAAAATGAAATAATAATGGCTACTTTCAAATTGTTAATCTAGAAAATCGTCGTCTCAACTAAAACTTAAAAATTTATAATATAGTGTAATACTTTGAAACACGCACGCATTTTTTTATATATTTATAACATATTTAAATTTCAAACAATAAAAAAGGTGAATTTCGAGAAAAACACCGAAAAAACTAATTAACTAAATTACATATCTCCCTTATTTCTTCATGTATCTACTACTTACTTGTTCTCCGCCCCGTTCGGATGATGCTGAAGTACCACTACTTTGTTGCTGTTGCTGCATCCCTGTTGCGGAGACTCCAGTCCCGGCAGCTTGTTGCTGCTGTTGTAAACTAGCAGCTGACTGGACGGTCACGGCGACCAAAGGAGCACCGGTAGAAGTTTGAATACGAAGAGGGCTGCTCTGACGCACTCCAACTGCCTGACTTTGTAAAGCAGCTGATACTTGGGATAGGAATGCCTGTTGTGCTTGAGTGCTAGCACCACCTTGTACTTTAATACCTGTCAGGGCACCCGCCAGTGTTGAAGTCGTTTGAGGACGGATGGACGTCGTTAGACCCTGAGAAGATGCGGCAACAACCTAAAAGAAATATGGAAATGAATCATTAATTCTGCACAGTAGTAAAAAACAAAACCTCCGAGTCAACACGAAAATTTTCTTTACCTGAATGGCTTGCTTCGTTCCTTGTCCTGTATTAACAGGAATTACCCTTGGAGAACCTTTAGCCAATACAACAGGTCCTTGGGGCACAGTGAGAGGTGATCTGACTACTTGTTGGAATTGTTGAAGGGTCATGGAAGTCGGCAAAGGCTTCGACCCCACAATCAACTGCGTTGCGACGCCTCCTTTGCCTGTTACTTGGGCAATGCCAGCAATCTTCTGATTCACCAATTTCTTTTGGGCTAATAATTGTTGTTGAATTTGCATGTGACGAAGTTGTTGCTGAGGAGTCGATGCCTTGACACTGCCTGGTGTCACTCCTGTAGCAGCCTTTACAGGAGCTCCGGCTATAGTAACTGTCGAAACAGGAATTGTTAAGGTCTGAGTGCCTACAAAAAAAAAAAAGCAATAAAACTCGAAATAACCTTTTGTAATATGATTTACCTCCACCCCCAGAAGTGGACACAGTTTTGACTAGGGTGGCCACCTGGGTTCCAGATGTTCCGGCTTGTTGAATGGCCTGAGCAAATACCTGAGGGGACAAACTTTGTATTGTGGTGTTGGTCTGAGAAACGGAGGCCACCGTTCCAGAAGCCAACACTTTTTGTTGTAGCTGATGTTGTCTTTTAAGAAGATGGGCAGCCATTTCCGATTCTGTCATAGTGCGAGCGACGCCCTGTTTACCAGCCACTGTTACAGCACCTTGTTTTACAAACTGAAAATTAAAATACAGTAAATTAAAATTTCCATAAAATACAACATAATTACATCCTTACTTGAGTTCGAGGTTGTGTCTGGGTGAATTGCACCGCCTGTCCAGCGATGGTGACCACCGTCGATGTCTTGGCACCACCTGGAGTAGTTCCACCAACATTTCCACCAGTGGCTTGTAATCTCAGCTGCTGCTGTTTGATTGTGGCCTGTCTGATCATTTGTAGCTGTGCTGGGCTTATTGTTTTCCCAGTCGTAGTTCCGACGACTGCTTTCGTTTGCCCTGGAGTTCCTGATACAATAAGACGTTGTGTTGTAGGTTGGATTTGAGCAGGACTTAGTCCTGAAACCGACACCACTGTTGGGTTTTGAATAGGTGATGCNAAGTTTGCAGGTGTGAAAAGCAAATCAAATCCAAGAGGAATGCCAATGCAGAAAATTTCTTATTTCAGTGGAATTCACATAAATCTTCAGTTGCTCTCACTCATCACTTGAAAATTAACTGCATAATGTTGCAAGGTGAAGACGAAAACAGCAAATCAAGAATGTAGTCCACCAAACATTGTAGATATTGTTTCAGTACCATCAACCTGAACTTTAAATCTCTCACATTTGTCAGACGATCTGTAGAGATGGACAAAAAAAAGTATTAGGTACACAATCAATTAAAAAAGGGATTCAAATTAAGTAAAATCATGCACAAAAACACAAGTAAAACACCTAAATTATAAAATGGCGATGAGATGTCAATTTTATTCATTACATAGAAAAATGTTAAAAGCAATACAAGTAACCACAGATGAACTATAACATTAATTTATTCTGTGGTATTCTGACAATAGATAACTGTTAGAAGAAAACTCCATAAATGCAGGATGACGTTAATTTATGCTGCGGACAATAGATAACTGCTAGAAGTAAAACCATAGATGCCAAAGAAGGCGAATTACTATGAATAAGTCATTTTAAAATCACAGAAAAGCAATTGCTTTTCTAGAGGATGAAATGAGCCAGATAACAGGCAGACAGAACATCGCATACATCACTGTAAATTAGACTGCATGTTTTCTATAAACACCATCAAGTCCGAGGGAGTATTAAAACGGCTCCACTTCTCCAATCCTTCTTTGTCTCCTTGTTCATTTAATATGTTTAAATGACATCCTGCTGAAACAATTTAATGTTAGCTTCATCTTAAATATAATTGTTTTAAATTATCAAACTCCATAATTAACTTTTACTACAGCGAAAAAGTAGTAGTAGTTATTATCAAACAAATGAAATATAAGATTTGAAAAATCACAAACCACTTTGTAAACACAACCATCAAATAATTAAAGATTTCTTACCCTTTCCAAGCTTAAGAGAAAGAAACGTAAATGGGGCTGCGCTTCACCATGTTTTGAGTACTTTTAATTTACCCTCTCTCTCCATGTACATTTCTGATGTTTTAATGGAAAAATGCTGAAATAATTACATGGTATTGGTTATATGTTCACTAGATTCGTTATTATTTTATTATTAGTGATAATTACCATTGATAGCATCCTCTGTTGTGATTTTTTAACCAGATGATTAAAAGTACTCTTGGAAATAAAAACATCTCTGAATGTATGTCCATCGAATCCAAGGATGTCATCTCAAAGCAACTCTATATAATAGAAAAAATAAGTCGTTAAAACCCATAAAACAAGGCAAAAATAAAAACATTTAACAGAAATTTAGAATTTTAAAGACAGCATAATAGTTTTGAGAAATGTTTCACATATTTTGGCTTTATTGCGAAAGCGATTTTTCACGTGCTCACACAAATATATAAAATTTGCAATCATCGCCTGAACTTGTTCTTAAAATTCAAAAATTCTAACAAAACCCTAATGATTCGACCTCAAATAAACGAAGAATCTAAGAATTCGCAGTAGATGAGTGAATAGGCAAGATGGCCCCCGTTTTGGAGAACGAAATCAGCACGACACCGGTCACTCACGCTAAAAAGAATCTAGGTAACGATAATCGAAATTCATCAGTTACTAAACAGAAACGTATTTCACACAATCAAACTAAAGTCGATTAAGAATTAGGGCTAAATACCTTTAGGTGTAATTTTCTTTTGTGGACAGCAAAAAGGATCGGTCGTCGTTGTCGAAAACCAAAGTATGGAGCATAGATAATAGATACACAAAGGTATGGAGACAAGACCACAAAAGTAGACGAATCGGAAGATCCATAGATGACAATTTTTTCGATACCTATAATACATAGATAATAGATTTTAAAGGTGGGTTCAATTATACTTACTCTGTTTAATTCATGAATTAATAAAAACTGATCCACCCCTAAAAAACACCCTAATGATATTACGGAATAGGGTATATTACTTGTACCTACTACATAGTACTAATAAAAACCTGAATAGGTGGTTATAACTTTTATTTCTAATTGTGTCAACTCCAATTGGTATTTATCTATGGTCAGCTAATTGTGAAACGTCATTAACGTATTTTTATTATCATTAGCATTTCATCGAGTAATTCTAACCTAAGAGTTTAGTTTACATTTTTAAGTACGGTAATTTTGTAAGATAGTTGTGGAAATAAGTATGCCGAGTTGGAGTCAGGTTCAGTCACAATTGCGACATCCAACTAATCCAGTAGTGTTTTTCGATATATCTGTCGGTTCAATTGTGAGTAGTACCTGTATCTACATTTTTTATATTACATCATTTAGTATTTTCTAACTTAAGGAGATTGGAAGGATGGTTTTTGAATTATTTGCTGATGTTGTACCCAAAACCAGTGAAAATTTTCGTCAGTTTTGCTGTGGTGAATTCAAGAAGGATGGCGTGCCGTTAGGTTATAAGGGTGCAAGTTTTCATAGAGTTATTAAGGATTTTATGATACAAGGTGGTGATTTTGTGAATGTATGTATTTACTATTACCTTATATATTACTTTATGGCCTTTTTCATATATTTAGGGTGATGGTACAGGAGTAACAAGTATTTACGGAGGAGGAACCTTTGCAGATGAAAACTTTCTTTTGAAGCATGATTGCCCAGGACTTCTTTCAATGGCAAACAGTGGAAAAGACACGAACGGGTGTCAGTTTTTTATAACTTGCGCAAAATGTAATTTTTTGGATGGCAAACATGTTGTATTTGGAAAGGTTTTGGATGGTTTACTTGTCATGCGAAAAATAGAAAATGTTCCAACAGGGCCTAATAATAAACCTAAGATACCTGTTACAATTGTTCAGTGTGGTCAAATGTAAGTGTGCATGAATAAAACTTTTAACCAGGTTACAAAAAAGAAAAATGTGAAACTGAATTTTCAGTGCACATTGTGCAGGTTCCATGTTTGAATCATGTTTTGTGGTGTTTAAAGTATAATTTAACCCATCTTTGGTGCAGTAGTTGTAAAACTACATGATTATTTGG